TTTGCCAAGGACAGGTTTCTAGGATTGGGATGCAGGGGACAGGGCACTCTGGGTGTTGTTAAAAGTGTGTCCACAGTAAGACAATATATAGTTGAGGAGGAATTAGACATGGTCATTAACTACCTTGTCATTAGTGTTATAAAACAAAGTACCTGTTACTGACTGAAAAACAAGTATGATTTGTAGACTTACACACACACATCCCAAATAAGTTCAAGTACACCCTGAGGTGTTGGAAGGCAAGTCCTGCTGATCTCATTCTGAAAAATCAGCCTTAGACTGTAGCCCTTGGTCACTCTTTAATCCTAGAAACTCCATGACAAGCCTATTGGGTGATCAACACCATTAAGGGAGAAACTTATTAGAATAACCAACTATTGAAAATCAAAATGCTGGCCTTTGCCCTGGGATGAGGTGCAGAAGGCAGGAAAGGACAAATGGAAACAGTAGACAAAAGTGGGAGAACTGCTAATACGATATGGGAAATGTCATGAAGATGTGTATGAACTGTTGAATGAAAAACCAATTTCCTCTAAACTTTCACTCAAGTCACAAGTTGTAAAACCCCACAAAACCAATCATGAAATAAAAGTTCTACTGACATATAGGGGGTGTCATGAGTTGCAATCAAATGGACAGTGGTTGGATTTCATGGCTAATTGCTTTATTCTGCTTTATTCTGGCAATAAACAAACCTCTAATTTTAAAGTCCCCTCCAATGTCAGAAAAACCAACCATCCCTTTATAGTGGGGAAGGCAGGCAGGTAAAAACTGTAAGAATAAAAGCATGGAAGCTGTTTAATAGTATTTATAGGACAAGCAGTGTTGAGTGTGGGGCATTATCTCAAAAGGGAGGGAAGGATCCAAGCAAAAAGAAGATGGGCAAGGTTCTAGGGTGATTAATTTTATAATGCACAATGCACAAGAATGGTTGTATGAAAAACAACATGAAGAATAGTGTGAAACAATGTACACAAACTTAGCAAATAAACCAATTGAAAAAAAAACCCCAAAAAGGATCTGGATGAACAGATGCAGACTCAAGCAAGGTTCTCCTCATCCAGCCTCCACAAGTCTCCCAGAACCCTGCTATGCTGGATAAAGGCTCTTCTATGAGGAACTGAAAAACCGAAGAGAAAGCACCTGTAATGCTGGAAGTTCTCCAAACTTCCAATCACTTTCTGATCTTTTGCTCTTAAATATGCAAAGAAAACAAAAAACCTGAGAGGAAATCTAACTTTGTAAAGGCCAAAATAAAACTGGAGGGGGAAAAAAGGAACTTGGAAACAACAAAGATTTAACCTTATTGAAAGTAAGTAAAAAATGCAACCATGAAATAAGGATGGAATCTAGAAAACATTCTGGTGGGGTGGAAAAGCTTAGAAAAACTGCAAAGATAATGAAAATGGCAGATATAGCTGAGAAAATGTTGGAAGTAGAACAAAAAAGCAAATAAGATGGAGGAAGGGTAAACTGAAGGCTTTGGCATAGGATACGGCATGATACAGATCTGTTGTTTATAGGATTGCTTGGGGTTGTAGTCAACTCCGTGGCTGTTAACACGTCCAACACTCAAATCAGGCAGGAGTCTCAAAATTCAGAAAGAGGAGGAAGGAAAAACCAGTAACATTTAAAAAAAACCTTCCAGAACTTAGTGGCAAGACGCTGCACTGCAATCCCAGGGGTACGTGGTTCAAATTCACCAGATGCTCTGCTGGAGAAGGAGGGGGCAATTTCCTCCTGTACCAGTCAGATCTGATTTGACGGTACACGTAAAAGTAAGACAATAAAAATTAAAAAAAATCTTCCATAACTTAAAGGACACAAGTTTTAACGCTGAAAGCACATCAAGCACAAAATGATCCACACAAAGTACACTCATGATATTTTCAGAATACCAAGAATCAGGGTTTCAGTGAGGAAAAAATCGGTCACAAAAGACTTTTTTAAAAAAAAACAGCAAAACACATCCTTTGGTAATATTTTCAGTGAGGGTTTCTCAGAACTGATTTGTGCCTCCTGTTTCTGTCCACTATAAAACATGTCATATTTGTTCCCGTTCCAAAGAAAGGTGACCCAATAGAGTGCAGAAATTAATATTAATATCACATGCAAGCAAAATTCTGCTGAAAATGATCCAAAAACTACTGTAACAGCACATCAAAAGAGAACTTCTAAAAGTGCAGGCTGGGTTTAGAAGAGGCTGTGGTACTAGGGATATTATCGCTAATGTCAGATGGATCTTGGCTGAAAGAAGGGGGTACCAGAGGAAATGTGTTTCATTGACTATGCAAAGGCATTGACTGGATCACAACAAACTGGCTTACTCTGAGAGAATGGGAATCCCAGAACATTTGTGCTCATGCGAAACCTATACGTGGTCCAGGAGGCAGATGTTAGAATAGAGCAAGGAAACATTGCATGGTTCCAAATTGGGAAGGGTGTACATCAGGGATGTGTCCTATCTCCATATCTTTTCAATCTATATGCAGAACAGATTATCCAGGAGGCTGGGCTCTATGAGGAGTGTGGCATCAGAACAAGACTCATCATTGATTTGCGTTATGCTGATGGCACAACCCTACTTGCTGAAACTGAAGAGGACCTGAAGCACTTGGCTGCAGAAGGTAAAGGACTGCAGCCTACAATATGGATTGAAGCTCATCAAGAAAAAAGACTCTCACCACTGGGCCAACTGGCAGCAATCATGATAGATGGTGAGGATTGTTAACAGCTTTAGTTTGCTTGGCTCCACAATCAACACTCTTGGTTTCAGCATCTATGGAATCAAAAGTCCAATTGCACTGGAAAGTCTGCTGTCAGGGACCTCTGCAGAGAACTGAAGAGCAGCAATGTCACTTTGGAGACTAAGGTGCATCTGATACAGGCCATGGTCTTTGCAATCACTTGTTACACATCAGAGAGCTGGACAATGACTAAGGAGGATAGAAGGAGAATTGATGCCTTTGGGCTGTGGTGCTGGAGAAAAGTGTTGAATATATGATGGACTGCTAGGGGAACAAACAGGTTCATCCAAGAAAGGGTGAAACCAGGCTGCTCCTTGGAGACAAGGATTCTGAAGCTTCGTTTGACATACTTTGGACATGTTGCAAGGAGGGGCCAGTCCTTGGAGAGGGTCATCATGTTTGGGAGGGTGGAGGGACAGCACAGGAGAGGAAGACCCTCAATGAGATGGACTGATTCAGTGACTGGGATAATGGCAGTAGGTACGTCACAGACAAAATGTTGGAACAGAATAGAGCAGGGTTAAGAGCTGCTGTACACAGGGTTGCTGTGAGTCACAAGTGACTTGATGATACATAACATAAAACATCAAACAAACTGTTAGAGAAAAATATGAACAGGAAATGGTAGTTGCTTCCTGAACACCCATGTGCCATGTTCATCTTGGAGGGTGTAACCCCATTATAAAGCTCTGCAATCCTGGGCTCATTTATTTTACAATTTGGGACCCAGTTTCATTGCAGACAGTTAAAATTTTAGAAAGGGATTTACTAGAAGGATATGTGGTAGCTCACAAAACTCTCAGAGGAGCTAACCAGTCAGGCCTCTGGGAGAATGGCGATCAGGACAATACAAAGTTGGAGCTCATTTGAGGTCTTTACTCCGATTTCTTCTGTTACCTATACTTCTACTTAAACCCCAGATTCAAATTCCCAAGAAGTTAACAACTGTCTAGTTTAGAGTATATCTTGTGGTCCTGTAATTTAACAGCTACTCCCAATTTACAGAGACCAGGGAAGGCTACACGAGGCATTCCCTAAAAGAGAGGGTCAGGAGACAAAAAGAAAGCCATATATAGATTTTCTTTAAATTTTATACAAAATCACAACTTTCAGAAAGAAAATTCTGGAATAAAGTCAGAAGCACCACACCAATTTAAAGTCTTGAAATAAGTGCCCCTCAAGTGCTATAGTTAAATATATAACAACAATGAAAGTAATGTTCTTATTGAACCAAGCAATTCTAAAGTTTCGAAGTCCATTGTTTTCAATATGTAAAAAAAGGCCTAGCAAATGAACAATTTGATTATAATAATAAAAGAGTATGATCTACCAAGTGACTGTTCACAGATGCCAAAGATCGTGAGATCTTAAAATGAACTACTTTTCTTTAGTTTTAAGACGAGTCCTGGTGGTACAGTGGTTAAAGTGTACAGTTATTAACCACAGGTCAGCAGTTCAAACCCACCAGCTGCTCCTGGGAGGAGGTTTTAGCAGTCTGCTTCCATAAAGATTTCTAGCTGAGGGGGCAAAACTGCTCTGACCTATAGATTACGGAGGTGGAATCAAGTAGGTGGCAGTGAGCTTGGCTTCGTTCATATTTTAGTTTGAGACTTACGCTGCTTAAGCTTCTACTATCTATTTTAATTTAATCACTTCTACAGGCACCTTGAAGACATCATGCTTGACAGGGTGAACACTCAGCTCAGGCGAGGAAGACCCTGGATGAGATGTCACAGGGACTGTGACCATGGGGTCAGGTGTATCAGTCAGTGACACTGGCTCAGAGCAGGACAAGGTTCAGAGCCATGGTTCAGAGGGTCGCTATGAATCCTAGTCGACTTGCAAAACAGGTATTAATCAGCTTCTAAGCAAAAGCTCTAAAGTTTCAAATTTTATTTCATTAAATTAAAAGATGAACAAATTGTACAGCTCAAATGTTACTAAATTTATCTCAAGCACAGGTTTATACAGAGGATAAACAGACACAGATTTCAAGTAACTTATATTACAGTCCATTGTCCATCTAAAAATATGCTTTTAGTCCATGAAGAGTGAAAGGCAATTTTTTTCTTTTATACAGCATAAAAACTAGATGCAAACTTTGATGTAAATATTTTATTTTACTGTCAACACAGATGCAGAAGCTGGGAGGCATAAAAGTTCACAGTTAAAGATGCAAACAGTTTATTTTGTTTAGATACAAAACGGAGGCCTCCATTCACATCAGTTACAGGAGCCTTGCTTGTCCTCAGGTCACTTCTTCTTTTTTCCTTTTCCTTTTTTACTTCCCTCTCCTTGCTGAAGACTCTGGTCACCACCTCCTGTTTTTTGTGTCCTTGTTTTTAGTTTAGGAATCATTTCCGCTGCATACAACATTACTGACTTACCTAGGAATTAGAAGGTAGACTTAGCGTGTGGTATGAGAAATAAAGCCTAAAAGGTCATTAACATAAAAGTCTTGAAAATCATCTCTGTGTTAAGAAAACGGGAAGGAATTAAATTTTTTTTTTTTTAAATCAATTGATGGGGGAAACAGTAGCTTGGTCCCATGAGGGCCTCTGCTGGAGAAAATGAAGAACTGACATTGAGAACAACGCTGGAAGTATGCATATGGGGGCAAAAATTCCAAACACTAAATTGGCAACAAAAATTGTGATTCTGGTTTCAGTAATTGGCTTGAAAGTCAAAAAAGGAAAATACCTAAATTAATGAGTTAGATACTGATAGTCTGTACCAGAATATACACATACAGAATATCACAGTATCTCTAAAATACACAAATAAATGGTTATTAAGTCTCAATAACAAAAACTAAGCATTATTAAGCTAAAACAGATCTTATATGCTTAGATCACTTATGCACACATGTTCTCATGCTTTCTGGAACTATCACCCTGAAGATGGCGCTCCACATCTGGCCTTCCTTAATCCCAACATATCAAGCCCTTCAGCTTCCCTCGCTTTTTACATTATTCCATTTTCTTACTGGAAACTGGATGTGCCAAGTTTTACTTCTGTGACACTGAATCAACTAAGAATGGCTTAAGACCTCTTATTCCCTGGAAAGGGCCATCATGCCTGGACCTTTGGCAAGATGGACTGATACAGTGACTGTCAAATGTCGTGGATAAGGACAGCAAAGCATAGGAGAGTGCTCAGATCTGTTCATGTTGCTGTTAGGTGCCGTCTAGTTGGAACCAACTCCTAGCTGTCCATCTAGCAGGTTTTCAAAACCTGTAAGTTGCAGAGGAGGAGACTGCCCACCATTCTCCTGCTGCTGGATTCAAATCACATTCCTTTGGGTTGGCAATGGTAAAAACAAACAACAAAACAAACCACCAAACGTGTAAGTATATATACACTTATTTATAATCTCCCTCCCAGCCCCCCAGTTGTAAAGTTCATCACAACTCAGATCAACCTTATGTATTTCAACATCTAACTGCACGTCATAGTCTCTTATGGCTGTGACCTTTTAGAAGCAGAAAAATGGGCCTTTCTTCTGAGGTGGGTCTCAAGGTGGGTATGAACCACCAGTCTTCCGATTGGTGTTTCCACTACCTGGAAATGCCTCTTTAGCAAACATTTAAAGAAGAAACAACACTAATTTTTTTTTTCACACTTGTCCAAAAGAAAGACAAGTACTTCAACTACTCATGTGATGTGACCTGCATGATTACCCTGACAGCAAAGCAAGATAAGGATGAAGAAAAGCTATTCAAAAGGCTAATAAAATTATTATAAGATGATTAAGTAGGATCATCTCCCCTAGGAATGCATGTTATTCACCATTTAAAAAAAAATTAACCAATGTAAAATATTCATCAAGAAAACACGGTGGGGAGGTGGTACCATAAAGACTGCAGGGACATAGAAAGGGAGCCGACAAAGTCCACAGTCGTTCATGGTTAAAATATCCAGAAAACTGCAAACAAAAATTTCCTCCAGAGGATCAAGAGCATTTATAGAAAATTATAATTCTAGGTGTCTACTAGAAAGAACTGAAAAGAGAAACTGAGATAATTTAAGTCAGTGTTCACAGCAGCACTTTTATACTACCTAAGTATTCATCAATGAATGAATTAAACAAAATGTGTTAAAACAATGGAATATTACACAGCCATTTATGATATGCTCTTTGATAATATTATGAATAGTGATGTGCTACATGGAATAAGTAAAAAACAAGTACATGCTTACACTTAAATACAAATTAAAATGGGCCAATTCATAGAAACAAAGTAGATCAGAAGCTCCTAGGGGTTGGAAGGAGGAAGAAATGGGGATTGTGCTCACTTCAGCAGCACAAAGAGGACATTAGCATGGCCCCTGTACAAGAATGGCATGTGTGAAGAGTTCCATATTTTATGCAGGTTATAAAGCATATATATATGGTTTCGAACACTGAAACACTTCTCACAACAGAAATATTAACATCTGCAGCCTATAACGTAAAAAAATAAATAAAATAAAAATGGGGATCTATTATGTAACAGGTAGTTTAGGGTTAATTGAAAAGTTCTTGAGATAGCAGTAATGGTTATACGACATTGTGAAACATTAATGTCACTAAATGTGCCCTTAAAACAGTAAATTTTATTTACAACCAGGAGAAGATAAAATAGATAAATGGGACCTTCTAAGAATAAAATCCCTATGCACATATAAAAATTTCTCCAACACGGTGAAAAGGGAAGCCACAGTCTGGGAAAAAGTATTTGGTAATGGCATGTCTAATAAGGGACTTATATCTAGAATTTATAAAATACTCGAGCACCACAACAAGATAAACAACCCAATTGAAAAATGGCACAGGATATGAACAGACACTTCACCAAAGACGACATTCAGATGGCAAACCAACACATGAAGAAATGTTCAAAATCTGTAGCTCTAAGAGAGATGCAAATGAAAACAACTATATCACCTCACCCCAGTAAGAATAGCAAAATTTAACAGAACAGCAAACAAATGCTGGCGAGGTCGGGCAGAAACTGGAACCCTTATTCACTGGTCGTGGGAGCATAAAATGGGGCAACCACTATGGAAGGCAGTATGGTGCTTTCTCAAAACGTTGCAAATAGAAATATCATTTAACCCAGCAATTCTACTACTGGGAATATATCCCAAAGAGACCATAACCACCACCCAAGCAGATATATGCACATCCATGTTTATTGTGGCTTTGTTCACAATAGCAAAGAGTTGGAAAGTGCCCATCAACAAATGAATGGATAGAGAAGCTGTGGTATATTCACACAACGGAATACTACACTGCATTGAAAAACAAGGAACTCATGCAATATTATTCAAAATGGGTGATCCTGGAAGACATTATGCTGAGGGAAACATCTGTCACAAAAGGGGAAATACTGGATAGTGCCAGTGTTGTAGAACGGGACTGACATTGTGGTTGTGGAGGAGACTGAGAAAGATGAGATAAATAATGCATACTGCATTGAAACAGATGTGGAACAGTACTGTTTGTTGTCATGACAGGAGTCCAGAACAAAGGCTGCACAGTGAGTGGACTT